GTGGGCGACGTGCTCGGTCGCCTCCCGCCCTGCGGTGTGCGGTCGGCTGCTGCTGCTGCTGCTGCTGCTGCTGATGCCCACCTCCACGGGCATGGGTGGCATCTGTGTATCATTCAGTAATGTGAGAAGACTAGTACAAGGTTACCAAACAAAAAACAAAAAAACAAAGTGTGTACAAAGTATCACTTTGTACAGAGGAGCACCCACTGCGCCCCCCCTCGACGAAATGCACTTATTACGTCTTGTTTTAAGGCAAAGAATCATGGGATTTATGATGGAAGCAAGTCTACAACATGTTTGTCAGTAAACACTGTTAAATGACAAACCATGATTTTATTATTATTATTTTTTTAACTCTACTTATTGTCTATTTCTGCCCCTGTGACGAATCTGTCAGTGGGGTAAAGTGATCAGGATCACAGCCTCAGTTTGAATGTCATGGCACAGACAGGTGTAGTCAGATGATGGAGGTGATGTTGTTGTCACTGTGATGGTGTGTACCCCCCCAGACATATATATTTATAATATATATTTATATATAACCACAGATCGTCCGTTTCTCTTCATGCCGTTTACAGATGTGACGTTAGCTTGTTAGCCGCTTAGCTCCAACGGCTCAGGAACAGGACAATAAAAGCAGAAACAAACGCGTGGACGTCATGTAACTCACGGTTTCAGTGGCCCAGGGAGCAGAGGACACCGTGTCCCGTCTGTCTGTCCACGTCCTGAAGACTGACAACCATTTTCTACAGCAACTTTCTTCTTTTTTTTGCCATCAAAACTGAGCAGCGGCAGCAGACAGACGCGTCGCCTTTAAGAGGATCCAGACAGACGAGCCAGACTTTAGCCGACGGAAAAAATAAATAAATAAATAAAATAATGAAATGACCTCCGCGTTTAAACATGCATTAAAAATGACATGCGCGTTATTGGGATATCTCACATACTAGAGCGTAATTAAAATTATTTTTAAATTATTAATAATGTTCGTAAAACAGTATGAACTTCATGATTCTGCTCCGTTACAGTTCGTTATTGCTATAAAAAATTAAAAAGTACATAATCACGTTTTTTTTTCTCAGTCAGATTTATAAAAGTCAAACCTGAGAGAACCAAATGAAAGAATCACGTTTAAACAACAACAACAAAAAGGACAACATCTGTACTACACATTTTTTTAATTAAATGGGTTCATATGTCGTGGTTGATCTAGTCAGAAATAGTTAAGAAATGTAAATACATCAAAACGTCAGACCAGCTTGAGTTACATGTAAGACGGTTTTAAAGCCCCCGCAGGTGACGACGAGTTCAGCTCCTGAGAATAAACATAGATTGGTGTCTTTGGCCTTTGAAACGGCTAACATTTAGCATGTGAAACGCAGGATTATAACCTAGAATAAAGAAAACAACACCTAGCCCAATGCCACCCACAACTAGGTTTAAAAATGTGTATAAGATTTAATATACAAAAAAGTTTAAGCGAGACTTTCATATCACAAATAACAGCGACATCTGGTGGAATAGACTTCTGTGCCCTGTCAATAAAGTTTCACCCACATTTTTGAGGTTGAAATTTTATTTTCAATGCTTGTCGCCCCCCCCAACCCCCTCTAATTAGAAAATGAAATTATAATTACACAATAATATAAACCTGACTTAAAGCAAGTGTGTGTTTTTGTGTAATTACCTCGTTCGACCACTACTGATGCAACGTGACAGTACCAATACTTTAACCATTACAAAAAGAGTAAATGTAGCAATTGTTAAAAATATGACAAACAATCAAATTCATGTTCACTAAGAAGAAATAAAAATCAACTGGTGAAGATCCAGTAGGAGCAGACTGAGGGACCGAGTCCTTCAGGTTTTTCCGACTTTACCTAAAGACATTTTGAACTGATCCCTGACCTGTTCATGAGGGTGGATGGAAACGCTGGAAGAAAACCTGCAGTTTCGTAGGTGGTGCCAGGAAAAGACTTGAGATTTGATGTGATGATTAGAATATATATATATAAAAAAAACTATGTACAATTAAGAAAAAAAAAACTTGGTAAACTTCCTGCTTTACTCCTACTTCCTGTTGGCACTCGCTGTCCCAATCACACAGTCGTTCACCTGTAAAGACAATTTAAAAATATTATATAACTGACTCCACGGATTTGTTAAATTAATCTGTGCACAATTGAAGCCATGACTTTATTAAAAAAAAAAAAAAAATCAGTTTATTAAAGATATTTAACCTGTTACAGGATGTGAGGAAACAAAGACAACATCATCACGTTAGAAAAAAAAAAATCAGTTTATTAAAGATATATATTTATAACAGATTTACCAGCACCAGGTAAAGGTGTCAGTTATATGATCAACAGACCGACGGTGGACTGACCTTACTGGCGAACCTCAGAGAGTTGAGGGTTTCTCCAAAGCTGTCAATCTCCGGGGCAATGTTCACAAACATCAGGCTGAGAAGAAGAACAAATTCAACCAGGTCAATAATCTCCTCGGTCACAGGCTGTGTTTGGAGAGTGACCTCTGACCCCCAACAGACGAAAGGACTGTCAGGAAACACACGTCACCCCCCGCCGCCGCCCAGCCCCAAGCATTGTACGGCACTGAACATTAAGCCAAAAAGACACAGAAGCCGACCGACATTTTCAAGACGACAAACTCACGTTTTGCTGTTTCCTCCCAAACAGGCCTGCAGAAGGTACGTCAGCTTGGAGTTCCTGTATGGAACGTAACTTTCCTGGAGGGCAGAGACAAACAGTTCCACATTCACGTCAGTAAACCCAACGACTTGTCAGACAGACGGGGAGGATCAGACTTCTGATCACTGACCTTGTTGGCCAGCGCTGTGATGACGATCCCCAGGTTGGACAAAGAGCCGTTAATGGCCGTCATCTCTTTGAAGCGCTCGCCCTGAGACTGACTCTTCATCATTCGCTCACTGCCGGCCAAGTCCACGAGACACAGAGAGGCTGCGGACGAACAGGACGCACAGGTTAAAATGTGAGGACAGCGCAGCGGTCGACCCAGTTCTGATGTCGGTGGGATCGACACTCACACTTGCATTTGACGTCTCTGCCAGAGTTCACGCCCTCGATATCCAGCTGGAAGACTGAATGTGAGCGGGAGGAGCGGTCGTTCTGAGCAGTTTGGGCCGTGGAGCGGTTCTGATTGGCCAGGTTAATCAGTCCCAGGACCTGCAGAGAAAGAACCAGAACACTCAGGGTATTACGTCTCTCTGTAACAAAACAGACTGTTACAACTAGGGCTGTAGGAAAATATCAATTGACCCCCCCCAACCCCCCACACACACACACACTGTAATATTTCCAGAGAGGTTGTACCTGGTCCTCGGTGCAGACCTGTTGGTAGGTCAGGTTAGTGATGGTCAGCTCATTGTTTGAGGACTTTCGGATCTCGTACTCAGGCCTCTTGTTGGCCTTACCGGTGTAGAGCAGGTCTCGCAGGGTTTCGTTGTAGATTTCCACGAAGCTCGCTGTGAAAGTAAACTGAGAGAAAACCGTTGATTAACCGGTGGTCGATCTCACGCAGAGTTAGAAACATGTGAACAGAGGAAGAACCGATTCCACACTCACCTCCCAGCCCTGGGAGTCCAGCTTCTCTGCTGCTTTGAAGATTTGCTGCACGGCTCTGGGAATGACGCCTCTCATCTCATCGTAGTCTCCTCCCTCCATGGTGAACGTCTTTCCACTTCCTGTTTGGCCGTAGGCGAAGCAGCAGACGTTGTAGCCGTCGAGGGCGGACTGAACCAGCAGAGAGATCTCCTCAAACACCTGGGAACAAAAATGAGCCACACGTCGACGGAACATGAAAAAAAAAAAAAAAAAATCTAAACATTTTTTTTTTTCTAAAAACCAATTAAATTGACTTCTCACCTCGTGTTGTGAAGCCTGAGGTCCGAACACACGGTCAAAACTGAAGTTGTAATTCTTCTGAGTGTCTGCAGTTTTGCCTGTGTGAGACTGAAGAGCAAAGACGTGAGGAAAACTGGAAAACATCTTCTTTCTCTGGAAACATGGTGCTGTGAAGAGCAGACTCTCACCTCCTCAGTTTTGGCCAGTGTGATCATCTTGTTGTCGCTCACTGGCAGCTGGATGTGCTTGCTGAGACCACTAGTGAGTAGGGGGCGCACTCTGCAAAACACCCGGATATTACCCTGTGTGGGGGACAAAAAAAAAAAAAGGACCATCACCGATGGAGTCACATTTTTACCATTTTACTGGAACACTGAATAGTTGGACTTTATTGACTTGTTTATCGTATCATTTCCTCCTGTATTTTTTCACATCGTCTGAAGTTTTTTGTAACAAAGGAGTTGATTTTTTCACTTCATGGACATGAAGCGACACCTTTCTGTGCCGCGTGCTAACGATGTGCTAACTAACCTTGAGCTCCTGGATGGTGTTGTGCAGCCTCCTGCGCTCCATTTCTCCAGCGTGAAGCTCGTCCTTCTGCTGCGCTACAGTCTCTTTGAGACAGTGGACCTCCTCCTGGGTGTCCCTGAGGGTCTCTTGTACACGGGTCAGGGTGGACTCCTGCACTGAAAGCTTCATCTGCAGATGGAGAAAAACATACAAATATAAATCAAAGTTTGCCTGGGTTAACATCTCCTTCAGTGGTGGGTCCTGACTCTTTACCTTGAGAGTTTGGAGCTCCGTCTCCTGGCTGTCTCTCAGTGTCTCCATCACCTTGTATTTGCCCTCCAAGTTAGAGAGTTCCACCTGCAGACTGCTCTTCTCACTGGACACCAGCTCCAGCTCATCGCGGACTCCCGTCAGCGCCTGGAGCTCCTCTTCGTACTCACTTCACATGAACGCAGACTGGTTAGTGTTTAAACACGGTGAAAGATCTCCAGGACTGGAAAAGATCTGGTTCACACCTGATCTGGTTCCTTCGTAATTCAAGCTCCTTCTCCATTTCAGCCGCCCTCATCTTAGTCTGGGCCACCGAGCTTCTCAGAACCTCGTTCTCCTGGTTGACTGATTTGACCTTGGTCTGGTAGTTGACGATCTTGCCCTCCATGTCGCTCACCTTGCCCTTCAGGTCCCAGGGTTTTCGGGAGTTTCGAGCGTTGGGAGCTCCACCTGCAAGCAAGACCAACAGTCACCAACAGGGGGCACCACTTAGCTCAGATCCCATCTGTCTGTGGCCACATGGTACATTTCATTTAAATAAACAAATGAAACATTCAGAGAGGACAGCAGACTTACCGCCTGGTTTGGCCGCCGCCGCAGGTTGTTTCATGTTGACTTTCGCTGAAGCAGACGCCACCGATGACTTTACGACACCTGAGGGCAGAACAACAAATGAAGGATCATCCTCCTGATGCACGACTGTCTCAAGTCTTCATGGTCACGAAGAATGTTGTAGAAACGTCTCACCTCTGGAGGGGCCAACGGCCACCGTAGCAGCTCCAACGCTCCTCACTGGCTTCACTGGAGGAGGAACAGACACGGGCACCAGAAGATAAAGAGTTCAAATAATAAAATAATAATAATAATCAGTCTTGATTTTTAGCATCTATCTACCCTTCCCTTCGTGACTTATCAATTACTAATTTACATATTCAGACTAACATTTATACGGGGTAAATAATGGTACATCATCGGACAAACTTAGACCTTGTTGACAGTCCTGGGTTTGGTTTTGTTTTCGCACTTTAAGAAAATATGGATACACTGAAATATTGATACACTGTGTGTTAACTACGCTGACAGTTTTCCTACAATTGAATCGTTAAAATAAACCCAATAGTTCATCGTGCCAACAGTATCGTAGTGTATTACAATATATCGGATCGTTGCCCCTGTACCATGATAAGTATCGTATCGCCAGATTCTTGCCAACACACGGCCCTAGTTTGTTTGGTTTTTTTTTTAGTGTCAATACCTCCATGAAGAGGTCAGTTAGTGAAACGTACCCAGCGGTGCTCTGGCTGCAGCTACAGCAGGCCTCCTGCCGCCGATGATTGTGGCTGCAGCCTGGGGTTTGACAGTCTCCTGATCCCGACGAATCCTTTTCTGTTAACCACCAACACGACAGACATGAAGTACAAAAACAAACGTACTTCTAAACAGGAATGTTGGCTTATTTCTACACTTTGAAGTAAATAATAATAAAAAAAGACTATCGATGGTAGACACAAACAACATATAATACCTGAGCCGGAGCGAAGTCCTGGACGTTCTCAGAGCTGGTGTTTCTCGTCAGGACTCGTTTGCTCGACATGACTGGCAGACGAGACATGCTCTGTTCAGGAATGTCCAGACAGAAATCCATCAAAATCAAATGCAAACACAGAAACGAAGCACTTAAACTCACGTTCACGTAAATTCTTCTCCATCCGTTGGTGTCGAAAAACACGTCTTGGCTAAGGCTAGTCCCAGCGTTACAAATGTATAACCCAACTCGAACTGAACTTCTGATGGTACTGGTACTACGATCCCCGTTTATCCACAACGATCGTTTATAAGTGATTACAAATATGAATGGAACTAAGTATTTACCTTAATCTGGACACACTTTTCGGTCTGCACCGCAGTCTTTTATCGTATTCAGCCGTTTGAATTTCAAACTGGGCTGTTTTGGTGGGCGCCGTGGAAAGAGGGCAGTGATTGGTCCAAGCCCAGGAAACCACACCCATCAACATGTGTGCGTTGGTTTTTCTCAGGCGGTCCGTTCTGTTCGGGCGGTATTTGTGTTGGGTGTGAACCGATTGGCTCAGCCTATTGAGCGTTGGTTTTACTCTGCAGGACATCCCGGTGACATAAACGGTAAACAACTGTAACAGTTAAAAAGACAGAAGGATTCACGTGAGGCTGTTGTCGAATGGAATTTAACCGAAGTGGAAAACAAAACATTTTCGTCAATGTTTTGTTTCGATCAGACAATCCTTAAAATGATTGGTCTTTGAATCACCCCGTGATTAGCCATTTGTTGACAGTCATCGGTAATATATCGCTCTGTCGCGGCATTGTGTTGGACCAGCATGTCGTTACTAATGTCCACAGTCGATCAACTAACAAAATGGTGTTTTTAGTAATAATTTAAGACTACAACACGTTCACCAAATGGAAGATTAAGATGATTCCTGGATTGATAAAGTGCATCTTAATGAAACAATCCTGTTATTGTTAGTCATGGTTTTGATCATACAAAACTGAAGACAATGAAATGTTTTTTTTTATATCATAAAATTGTTTTTGAGTTTTATTCTCCTAGTGGAAGAAACAGTCTGTTGGGTTGGACTTGTAAATGAGCAGAGCGTGTAGAGAGTTAATGCCTTATCAGGAGGGTTATTGGTAGTTGGTGTTAATAATGTGACTATTAAGCATGTGCATTTTGACATAAAAGACACAATGAAACACAAAGGAGATATATATGAAGACTCAGGCCTGGCGTGTAGGCTGAGTGAACAGGAAAGAGGGTGTAAAAACATGAAGACGTGGCAGCAGTGTCCCAGGTGAACCAGGTCAAATCCTTGGTGGTGTTTAGTTTTTAGATCATTCAAAAACAAAAAATTTAAAGTTTGAAGTCCTTTTTGGTTTGTTTGTTTTTTAAAGGTTTTTCATTGACCATCCAGTGACTGACTGTTCAACGACCACATGGGACACTGGGCTGTTCTTTACTGGGAGCTCCTCTAGTCTCTGTACACATTTAACACACTTCCCTTTTTACGGATGAAAAAGTATTTTCTATCTATTTTATGTACAGCATACTGAAATACAATAATGCCTCAGTTTGATAACATGGATAATATTTGCAATACAGTTATAATGAAAGTAGTAATAATATATGAAAAATGTAAAAAAAACAGAGTAGATAACAGTACCTGTCAGCTTTTTTAACACAGTCATTATCATTTCTTACCAAACAACCTGACAACAACCAGTTGGGTTGATTTGACTCACTGGACGACAACAATCACCTGTTTACTGCTCCCACTTTTCCCCTAAACATTCATGCACTCACTGGACTTCCTGTCTTCAACTCACACACGTCTCTGCTGGTAGAAAAATACAGACATGATATAATAAAAAACAAAACACATCAATGACAAACAAAGGCGTGAAGTAC